CTCCTCCATTATAAGATCCTTCCTTGAAGCTGTAATAGGCATATGCTGAGTCATGGTCCAAGGATTGTAAACAGAAGCAACAAAGAACACCGTCGATAAATACATAACAATAACGAATAAAATAAATCAACTTACTTAACTGACACTTGGATTGGCTGAGTAGTAGAGTCTCCAGTATATTCGACAAAAGGCTGTAACAAAGACAAGTTTGAGAACGGACAAATAAGTCAAAATAATGCAAAACGAAATATATTAAAAACAACAGACCATTGCATAAAAATGCATATTAGTACTATAGTATGAACTTAAACAAGAGGGGCCAGCATTGACCATCAAGTTGATATGTTATCCACACCAAATTCCAACATTATCTTTGCTGCTTATAAAATGGCTCTTACAGTTGAAATAGAGGAATAAATCACTGTTCAGATCAAGTATTTTCCATTTCAACTATTAGTGCAGTGCAAAAAATATCAACACGGAGATTCTCTATTCCTCTGAAAAGTCCAATTTTTTACTCCACTGTGAAAAAATCAGAATGCAATGTACCGAATTCCTAATTCTACGAAGATTGCCTGCTTTACATTGGTCAGCGGATGAGATGCATAGTTAACCCAAATGGCATGTCATATGTAATCCCAAATAGAATGTTAGGACTGTAGATGGAATACTTGGCGAACAGTGATCCACGTATAGAACTTTAATGAGGCATGGAGTTCCAGGCACACAAGTAGTTTCACTCTCTATTTCTACATTAAATGTATGATGGTGGGAAAAAAAAGAATCAATAATGTATATGGGAGGCATACCTGAAAGCTTTGGGAAGAAATGTTGTTCCATGGAGTGTCAAAAACTTGCCTTCCATCAATATATATGTGGTAACCATGACCCTGAAATAATTACGTATTGATTGTATAAAAAATTAAAGTTAAAAAGAGACAATATCAAATTTGTAGTGCTCATCATGAAAACCCCAACTAGACAACAAACTGAAATTGCATTTTTTTTTTTTTCTTTTTGCGAGGGACTTTTATAG